AAGGGTGAGAAGAGCTGGGACTTCTAAGTTTACAAGAAGGAAGCTGCAGAAAGATCTGGTGCTTCAATTGAGAACGTCTCAAAGAGGAATGTTAGCTTTTGTTTCCATGAAAGACAGAACATCAGGATCATGGACTTAAGTAAAACATGAGGGAAAAGCATATGCTCCCTGACGATGCTTGCAAATCCCTGGATTATGCTTCCTTGAGATCAGATGGATGAACAGTCAGTTCTGAGTAATGGGTCCTTCCAGTTGCAATGTGTTTGCAAAATAATAGGTATCACTTCAGGGCTGGTAGAGTGCATGGTCTTTCTGTGAGGTGGGGTCATCCTCACTGGACCTCATCTTTTAGCTTCTTAGACAAGATGATTGAGGATCACTGGCACCGAATACTAGTTTCCTAATCAGTGAAGCCTCGTAGTAACAATTCTGAATATATGAATGGGGCAGAAAGCACAGGTGAAAATACCTCTTTCTGATTGGTTTACCACATTCATTGAAGAAGGATTTTTTTCTACTATAGGGCAGGATTTATTCTACCATAAGCCAGGTGTCTGATCCTAAGGCAGCGGTTCTGGATTGAGGTGACTTCACTCCCATCCCGAAGGACAAGGGCAATGTCTGGATACATTTTTGTCATCTTATGGGAAGAAGCTAAGGATACTGCTAAATAACTGGCAATGAATAAGACAGCACCCCACAACAGAGAATCATCCAACATCAAATGTCAGTAGTGCCCAGATTCAGCAACCAGGAGATAAATAACATTGTTCCTACTCCCCCAAACGTTGGTCTGTTCATTGTGATTGTTATCATCACCTGAAATAGACCTAGTGAAAATGTCTGCACTGAAGAAAACAAGCAAGTTTTTTATTTAAAGTGACCATAAAGAAAGCCACAATCCCAATACCATTTCAGACTGATGAATGGCACTATTGATGTAATAGTAGTTCATTTCCTTCTTATTAATTGCCTGGATGAATGCATCTTAAAATTTAAAACATTATTTAGTAGTGGAGAGACTGTTTCCAGGTGGTCATAACGAGCTTTATCAGTAGAAGGAACCTGCAGTTTTATCTGGGAGTTCCATAAAGTACAATTGGATGAAACATAACCCATAAGTTGAGTTAATACAATACAGCTTAGCAGCTTACCTCTCTTAATGGAGATTTGTTCATAACCTTAGCAGGGCATAGCTAGAATCTCACTTTGCCACAAGTCCTCTGGGCTAGCAACACTTGCAGGTGGATTATTTGCAATCTTTTGAAACTAATTTTTTCAAGAGCTCACATGTATCAAGTCACCCCATGTTAATTAAAAGAAATGATTGATTTAATAAGATGGCACCCCAGGGGCCTCAAATATACCCTATTTTGTGGCACTGATGTGGGAGGTGAGCTATTTGACCTGGTGGAAGTGAGCTGTTGTGGAAAACTGCCTTTTTATTTAATGAGGAGTAAAGTCTGCCAGAATGACCTCTAACACTTTTTTCCCTGCTGTTAAGGTTTTCAGCTTAGCAGCTTTTAAGTGTGGTTTTAAAGAGACTTGGTATCACCACCTTTCAGCTCCAAATCACCCCCTTTACCATTGTGCCAAGTGCCCTAGGCAGTCCAGTTAACTGGAATGGTCTTCCAAATAATTTGGAAAGAATCTATACTTCTGAATTGTCACTCACTCATACTGGGTTTTGCCCCTCAATGACTTACATTCCTGTGGCTTCATTGGGTTTCAGACCCAATATTTAAGAATATCACAAAGTACATATTTTTGACTTGTTGATGCTTAAGAACTGAAAGCCAAAACTCTTCTGAGCCTCAATTTCCTCCCTTGTAAAATGGAATCTAAATCCTTTCCTGCTCTGCTTTATTAATTGTGCTGTTTATGAAGATAATGAGCATGTGGGCATAGTCTCAGTAATTGGCTCTCTCCCTCCCTTCCTCTTTGCTTCCTTTTCCCTTCCTCCTTGCTTCCTTTTCCCTTCCTTCTTTCTTTTTTGCTTCGTTTTCACTATTACAGACTTTTTCCACGCTAAAAGTTTCATGGTTTTGACTTTGGATGCTAACAAATATTTGTCCTTACTTTAAAATTCTTTCTTAGATAAGATAGTAAATGTATCCTATCTGATTTTTTTTCTTTTTTTCTCCTTTAAGTCAACTAAATTTTGCTTTGTCAGAGGATTATTAACCCGGAATATGAATCATTATAACTTGGTCTAATTTTTCTTTATACCAGTTCAGCACCAAAGCCAGCTAAAGTCATGTTGCAAAGTCTAAACAAGTATCTACATTCCTAGGAATTGATCATGCTTCCTTTTAAAAACAACAACAACAACAACAAAAGGCTGATCTTTGGATTGGGTTGAAGCAAATTATTCAATCTCTTCAATGAAATTAAGCCAGGAAAAAAGGCCCTATGGAAAGCCTATGTGACTGAAACCTAAAAGTAGCCTACCTGGAGACAGTTTTGAGGGATGAAGACGTAATAGTGACCCTAGCTGGCTGAATCAACCCAAACAATGATGGGCTTTGGCAATTTGCTACTGACCCAGTTCTTGAGCCCTTTGGTGATCATATTCTTCATACTAGAACCACAAAAGACTGCAAACCTCTGGCTTGGGAGGGACAATGCAACTAAATTATCATGAATCCCAGGCTTACTCGGGTCACAGCAATGGGCCCTTTGGGACCTTTGCCTTCTCCTTATCTCCTAGCCCACAAGTAACCAAGTGGATAGGATTCCAGTTTCCACTGAAGGCTGGGAAGGTGGCAAGCACAGAGTGGTTGCCTCCATGGCATAGTCCTGCCCCCAGCACAATATATACTGTGGGCAGCCTTCACCTATCTCGATGGGTATGTCTCTCAGCAGGACCACCAGTGCCCACAGCCACCACTTCCCATCAGTGATGAATGGCAAGGAGCGGATGTAGGGGTGGCTGGGTGTGATGAGGAGGCCTCCTGTTCCAGGAAGCTATCTGGAACTCCCACTGCCTCAATACCCAATGCCGGCTGTGAAGCCCGGTCTTTCTCCTTCAACCAGGGCTGCCACTTGAAGACAGAAGGGCATCTCCAGTACAACAAAGGGAAATTCGTGGCTTGAGGTTTATAAGGTAATAAAAGAAAGCAGGCTACGCATGCTTTCTTTTCCTCTTGTATGTCTCTCAAGTCTTAAGCTTTGCTTCTAAAGACAAATTGCAAGCTTTGTTCTCCAAATCCAGCGAAGTAGTTTCAATCCATTGTGAAAGACATGGGCCCTTCTGGCTAGGATAGAAAGGCTGTCCACTGCTGTGTGGCAGCGAATTCTACCACAATTCTGGGGAGAAAAGACAGCAGGCAAATGGAACACACTAGTCCCTAGGCACATTTGTATTTCATTTGAAAATAGAATGCATGTGCCATATTCGGGAAACGCTGTCAGAAATCCACAGTGGGAACAAAATGGAAAAAAAAAGAAAAGACTTGCACCATGTAGAAACTGAAAAGATGAAGTCCAGCTGATACTATAGAAAGAGAGTAGTTAGACGAGAAATGGCTATTTGGTTCTATTTTGAAAAAGAAAACCATACTTGGACAAAGAAATTGTAACAACACAGCAAAAAGAAAAAGAGCAGGGGAGAGAAACTCCACTCCGGTTGTATGATACAGGACCAGCTAAAACTGGAACGCACTACACAGAGAGCTGGTAATAAAAGAACAGTCTCGAAACTGCTTTTCCTCCTGTTCATGTTCGCAGGAACAGCTGGATACATACTAATTGCAAGAAGTGAAAGAAAGAGCTTTAAGTTTAAAAGCAGGCATGCACTAATCAGTCTCTCACCAGCACAGTTTCAGACACAAGTGTGATATGCCACCTCGCAGGTCTATTTTAAACACCAGCTCACACTTTCTCATTTGTGTAGGTGGCTTTATGTTGTCAGGGGAAAAACAACACACACAGCCCTCTCCTTCCAACTGCGTTGCTTCCGTCCATCAAGAAATGTCTTAACCAGTGCTTCTCAGCCTCAGCAATACAGTTCATTCTTTGTGGTGGGGGTTTGTCTCAGGCATTAGCAGGACCCCTGATCTCTACCCTCTACATGCCAGCTCCCTCAGTGTGAAAACCCGAAGTGTCTGCAAACATTGCTTTTCCCCCACATATACCCTGGGGGGGACATTAGAAGCCCACTAGACTAACTTCACAAAGAACTACTTTCTCATCCTTCCCTGATTCCCACCCTAAACAGCTCCAACCAAAGCAGAGAAAACATATGATATATCTAAATCTACCAGCAACCCAGGCTTTCTTTTTATTCGGAATGGATTCAACAATACTTTTGACTTGAAGATCTGCAACCATTATTATCGAGGTAGTCCAGGTTGCCCTTGATCTTAAAATTCTCCTACCTCAGCCTCCCAAGTGCTGTAATTACCTGGCTAAGTTACTTTTGCTTTTAGAGACTTGCTTCAGGACATAGAGAATTCTGAGAATTCAACACACTCAAGGGCAGTGTGAACCAGAAGGGGTCTCTAGGAACTGGAACTCACCTCCATATCTTCTTTCTTTGCAGTTTTACAAATTAAACAAACCTCAAGGCCTAGAGGTGAGGTGACTCTGCCGAGGCCATACGTATTCTTAATTGTCCTTTCCTAAGGTAATAACTCTCAGTATGCCTGAAGAGCTTAGGTCTTTAAACATAGATAACTTTACGGCTCTGTAAAAAATCATGCCAGTTAAGGAACGCACTTTTTTTTTTTTTTTTTGGTCGGTTGTGGGGCTTGAACTCTGGGCCCGGGTGCTGTCCCTCATCTCTTCAGCTCAAGGTGAGCACTCTACTACTTTGAGCCACAAGGCCACTTCCGGCTTTCTAGTGGTTAATTGGAGTTAAGAGTCTCATGGACTTTCCTGCCCAGGCTGGCTTTGAACAGTGATCCTGAGATCTCAGCCTCCTGAGTAGCTAGAATTATAGGCATGAGTCACCAGCACCCAGCACGCAAATTTTTTAAATGACAGAATACAGCAACCAATTAGTGCAAACAAACATTTATTGTGAAATATTCATCCTACCCTTTATTAGGTATTACATCATCAAAGCACTTTGTGGCAAGGAAAATAGCTTTTTAACCCCCTCTGATTCACCCAATATTCCATTAAAGCTGCAAAAAATGTGCAATCTGCTTGAAAAATAGGTTGCTCTTATTTACTCATTTGTGAAAAGTCAAAAATTAAAAAAAAAAAGAAAATGATACTAGCTTACAGGGCCTCTAGAGCCAATTCACCTTTCTGCTTCCCACCTACTCCCCCAAATAATTAACAAAGATACTTTGTTCTAAATGCCTTTAAAAAAAAAAACCAATGCACCTTTTCCCATGTGATCATCATAAAAAAATTTTCAAAACCATTATTCATTTTCTTGGAAAAAAGGTGGCCAGCCGTTGTTTTTTAATTGGGAGCATATGTATTTCCTGGGAGTTCACTTTCTTTAACTTTATGCCCCGGTTTTTGATGGGTTTCCTATGGGACTCCATGTTACCTAGGGATTCTTCTCCTTGTGTGTTGATGTCATAGCCCTGAAGCACAGAGTCTTCTCTTTTGAAGGAGAAGTTTTTGGTAGACACCCCTGAGAGGCCTTTGATCTTGCCACAGAAGATGGTAGGCATGGTGTCTTCAACCGAGACAATGACCTTGGCTGCCTGGGATTCGCTTACAACCTCAGTGTTATTTTCAGCTTTGACATCACTGCTGGGGTAGCTGGGCTGGCTGACCATCTCCACAGCATTGCTTTTGCTGCTGTGGCTATCCATCATGGCTGAAGCCTCAGGGGGCATGGCAGGGGCAAAGGGCATTTCCATGCCACTGGGAAGTTTCTCCATCACAGGGTGACCTGGGTTTGTGGGCCCACTGCTGTTATACAATGTCTCAGGGGGAGGCTCAGACTTCCGGTGGGCTGCCAGTGACAGGTCTAGGGCTGTATCCTCTTGGAAGATTGGGGGACTGGCTTCACCAGTCTTGAGCCAGGGCACTGACTTCATGGAAAGATCCAGAGCTTCGTTCTCACTTCCCATCTTGATGACGGTGTGGCGGCTGAGCTGGTAGTACTCCTTTGGCTGGAGGATGTCTAGGGGCTTCAGTTCATCCTTTTCCAGAGAGGTCTGAGTGCCTTTAAATGAAGGCAGGCTGAAGGAAGATGGAGGCTTGGGGAAACTGGAGCTGAACTTGGCTTCTGAATTCTGGGGTACTGGGATGGGGATGGGAATAGGGACGGGCACTGGCAATGGCACAATCACAGGGTAGGGCACCAAGAGGGTAGCTGGTGGGACCAAGGGAGACAAGGGGGAGCTGAATGGTTGTGGGGGCACTGGGGCATAGCCAGGAGGAGGCTGGCAGGGTGGGGGGCCAAGAGAGCCCTGGGAAGGGAATAAATTCTGGAGCACAGTTTCAAATGGCAGTGTAGGCTCCTGTGGCTGGCTGGGGATCCTCAGGTCCAGAAGCTGGGGCTGGGCCTCGGGGTCCTCAGCCCCCTGGAAGAGGTTGTTATGGATAGCACTGGAGGAGCACGGGGCCTCCTGTGGCAGGACCAGAGGGGAGTTGAGGTGCTGGAAAACGTGCTGCTCCAACACCACAGGCAGCTGCACGGGGCCCTGTGTGGTCATGACGTAGGTGGCGTTGGCATTAGGGTTGAGCTCTGGTGCCGAGCCGCCCTCTACCTGCATGTGAATGGGCATCACCACTGGGCTCTCCCCGAGGCACAGGGGCTGCAGCACAGTGGCTGCCACCTTCAGAGCCATGCCGCTCTGGGACTCAGCAGGGGGGTTGAGGATGGATGGGGCTGGCACAGTCACCAAGGCCTTCTTTACCAGATCAGTAGAGTTGATGTTCCAGGCCTCTGTGGTGATCAGCTGGGCCATGCCATTCTCCAGTCTGTTATTGGCCAAGGTTGGAGGGGAGTCGGTCATGTCCATGGAGAGGTTCTGAGACTGCAGGTCATCCATCACTCAGCTCTGATGACTCTTGGCCTGCAACACAGTACATACAACATGAATCTTCCTGAAGACACGGCAATTACCACCAGAGCGCTCCCCCCTCGAAGACTTTCCATAGCTTAGTTAACCCGGGAGCACATTCCAGCTCGCTAGGTAGGCATAAGCATTCTAGAGATTGCCGAATATAAACGAACACAATCCATATACTCTGCTGTGCTTAGAGAGACCTGGTTTAATAAAAACCCAGAAGATGAAGTCTCCAAATAGCTAAGCACTGTTAAATGGGATGTTTTTTGTTTTATTTATTTTTTTTTGCCAGTCATGGGGCCTGAACTCTGGGCCTGGGTGCTGTCCCTCAGCTCTTCAGCTCAAGGCTAGCGCTCTACCACTTGAGCCACAGCACCACTTCCAGCCTTTTCTGCTTATGTGGTGCTGAGGAATGGAACCCAGGGCCTCATGCATGCAAGGCAAGCACTCTACCATTGAGCCACCTTCCCAGCCCCAAATGGGTTTTGTCTAATACTCAGCTTACATGTTTAGCCCTCAACAAAAACAAATTTCCATGCCCATTGTTATGTCAGACTCTTAAGATATGCAAAGATTTCATTCACTCACATTCTAATAAGCAGCAAAGACTTATTTTTCCCTTAAGGAAAAATGAAACCTTGTCACATTTAAATATTCTATGAATATGGAATGGGACATCACATATCTCTTTGTAGCCATAATTATGGAATTATTTTTAAATTATGGAAATGCTCAGGAAGCATTTCAAAAAGTCTTTGGAGCAGTAATTCTCACAAAGGACTTTGCCGAGTGGAGCAATGGTACATTAACACACTAGCTCCCTCTGACGAGTGACAGCTTCCTTCCTCCTGAAAAGCCACTCAGCGCATGGTGAAGGTGGGATGACTTGCAAGAAATGATGGCTGGCTCCAGTGTCACTTTCCCAATCATCACATCTGTCTGACCTGTGGCCTAGCCCAACATCAACTGCCTAGAGGAGGGGGTGTGGATGAGTCTAAGACTGGAGAAATGGAATGGTTACTAGAAACCAAAACTTCTCCAAAGTGTGAGGCATTTTCACAATATCTGAGGCACTTCCCCAAGACCCAGAGCCACCTCCTGGTGAGGCCAAGGTTACCCAGCAAGTGTGCTTCCTGGAGGAAGCAAGGCTGCAGCTGTGATATGGCTCTCCATGGAAACGCGTCCATATTTAGCCTTGTTGCCATGGAGAAGGCAGGCACCATGTCTAACTCAGGGATCTGTGCAGCCCTGGAGTCTGGTTGGGCTCAATAATAATTCAATAATCCTCCGTTTCCCTAGGCAAGCCTGGGGCAACTCAGATTCTTGACCTCCCTGTATTGCTTGTGTAGACTTGAGTCCTGTGGTCATCTTGTCCTCCTTTCCTCCCCTGCACATCGTCAACACAGCCTCTCACACCAGAAAGACAGGTGGCTCAGCACCCCAGAGGGCTAGAAATAAATAAATAATTATCTTGCTACAGAAAGGCAGCTTTAACAAATGAACAACTCCATCATATCGCCAGGCAATCAACGTATGTCAAATGCACAGAACAAGGGGAGTTTCTCTGAGGCAGGCGTGAGCAGGGGAAGGATACTGTGCAAACACCTTTGTGGAGAGCAACTGGTGGGTCACGACGTTGGCAGGGGGCACTGGAATGCCTCCAGAGCCTGTCTTCTTATGGGCACCATGGCCTCTGGAAACCACAAGGTGACCCAGCATGCAACACAGTCATCCCCTTTGAGCAGAGTCGGGAAGCAATTTTCTTCCCAAAAGCCTGAAGGGGCTTGCCCCAGGTCAAGGGTACTTCTTTTTTTGGGGGGAGGGAGGATAGGGTATAATCATTGCCTATAATTTTTAAAAGAAAACAAAACAGAGAACAGATATCATGCTTATCGTGATGCTGAGTGATTTGCTCAGCCCAAGATCAGTGCTTCTTGATTCTGCCCAGAAAACATCACCCTTCCAACACATCACTCATTTGGACATGTGTGCCAGCATGTGTACTTCATTTGCTAAATGCTCACTGCATGCTAGCACTTTGCTGAGGTCCAGAGTTGAAACGGTGAGGGAGACAAAGGTCCCTGCTTTCATGGAGGTTAAAATCTAGTGAAGGTGCACACGTCTTTGATCACATTTGTCAGTACAAGGGGGCATGTCAGAAGAAGTGGAAAAAAACAGCAGGGCAATTCTTTGTGGTACTGACACAAAGTTATTTTTTTTTATTTTATTTTTTATTGAGAAGGTGATGGGCTGAGAGGTTACAGCTCCATAAGTAAGGCAATAAGTACATTTGTGTTTTCTTTGTTTTTGTTTTGGTTGCTCATGGGGCCTGAATTCTGGGCCTGGGCACTGTACCTTAGCTCTTCAGCTCAAGGCTAGCACTGTACCAACTGAGCCACAGCACCACTTCTGGCGTTTTCTGCTTATGTGGTGCTGAAGAATCAAACCCAGGGCCTCGTGCATGCAAGGTGAGCACTCTACCACTGAGCCACCTTCCCAGTCCAGCAAATGTGCTTTTGATCATTGTTACTCCATCCTTCTTTCTCTCCCACTTACCTCTCCCTCTCCTCCCGCCCCAATGTTCATTGTGACACACAGTTCTTAAAGAGGTTCGCAAGTGAACCTCTTCCCCCCAAAGAGTCTAACCTGTCCCTCCCAGTAGCCAGAACCCTCAGGGAGGGATTTTAAAAAAGCTGAAGGGAAGGTGGGGTGGAAATGATGAGGACAAGAACAGCAATGGCCAGCGAGGTCACCTGTGGCCGGCCATCCATGCAAGACAAATGCTGATGGTGAAAGGCAACTCAGTAGAAGTTAAGACACATTTCCAAGCCAGGCAACAGTGGCTCATGTCTGCAATCCTGGCTACTCAAAGAGCTGAGATCTGAAGATCGTAGTTTGAAGCCAGCCTGGCAGAAAACTCCATGGACTCTGATCTCCAATTAACCAGAATAAAAAGCTGGAAGTGAATCTGGTTCAAGTGATAGAGTGCCAGCATAGAATGAAAAACCTAAAAGCCGAGTGTCGGTGTGTCACGCTTGTAATCCTAGCTACCCAGGAGGCTGAGATCTGAGGATGGCAGTCCAAAGCCAGCCCGGGCAGGAAAGTCCATGACTCTTATCTCCAATAAACCCACCAGAAAACCAGAAGTGGCAATGTGGCTCAAGTGGTAGAGCACTTGCTTTAAGCTGAAGAGTTGAGGGACAGCGTCCAGAGTTCAAGCCCCATGACTGAAAAATATCTAAACAAAAAAAAAAAAAAACACTAAAAATTCCTTGACCCTGAGTTTAAGCCCCAATACTGGCATAAGTGCTCTTGCACACACACACACACACACATATGTATATGTGTGTGTGTGTGTGTGTGTGTGTGTGTGTGAGTGGGTGTGTGTGTATATATGCATGTGTATGTGTGTGCCACCTTTGGGTTTCCTGTGAGGCTAGGATTATTCCTAGATTGCTTTTCCATGATGACTGCTCTCTTTCCTTCTGGAAGCCTCTCTCTTCCTGCCTGGTCCAGATGTAAGCCTACTAACTGCTCTAGAATCCTCCTACATAGAGGTGGGGGGTACTTTGCTGGGGCAGACTGTCTCCTGAAGGCCTCTGTTCCTCTCACAGAAGGCAAGTATTAACATGTACTGAGCAGAGGTGCTGAGAACTTCCTATGCATTACCTCACTCGAGCCTTAGCATAATCCTTTCCTCCCCAGGCCCTCCCCTGTCCTCCTCACTGGAATTCTTGTCCTTAAGGAATGCAGCCTCATGTGGCTTTGACTGTGTGTCTGGAGGGCTGGTGGAGCATCTTCTCAACCTACTTCTAGGTTATAAGATGGCCACAAGGCCCCTGGTCTGAAGTAGCAAAAGTTTAAAGTGATTACGTGGGGAGGGCTCATAGCAACTCAATCTGAGCGGCTATTGGTTCTCGAAGGCCCTGTGGAGCTCTTGGGATTATTAGAGTGAGGTCACATGGAAGGAAGGCACACCTCCTGATCTAGATTAAGCTTCACATCTTCCATAAGCCTCTAAAACTTGAGGTGTTTGGAGGAGTCAGGGCCCCAAATGTGACCCACTTTGATCTTCTACATTTTGGTTTGTGTAATTTAGTTTTTCATTATTCTCTTTATCTTTTTTTTTTTTGGTCAGTTGTGGTGCCTGAACTCTGGGCCTGGGCGCTGTCCCTCAGCTCTTCAGCTCAAGGCTAGCGCTCTACATTTGAGCCGCAACACCACTTCTGGCTTTTTCCTGCATATGTGATGCTGAGGAATCGAACCCAGGGCCTCATACATGCAAGGCATGCACTCTACCACAGAGCCACCTTCCCAGCCCTCATTATTATCTTTAAATAGTCATACAAAGCAGATTATGAATACAACACATCTTGATCCATGTCACCTCTTTCAACATTTTCATCCATCCTTCCCCTACCCTTCCTTTACTCTTCTTGATTTTGGTTTCTTCCCTTAAAATAGTAATTTCTTAAATAATTTGCCATGAAACATTTTTTTTTTTTGTCGGTCGTGGGTCTTGAAGTCTGGGCCTGGGCGCTGTCCCTCAGCTCTTCAGCTCAAGTAGAACACTCTACCTCTTGAGCCACAGCACCACTTCTGGTTTTCTGGTAGTTTATTGCAGATAAGAGTCTCACGGTATAACCCTTGTTTTCACTGTGTTTGATGTTGGTATAATTTGTGGAGGGGAAGGGAAAAGGATACAGGTGGACCCATTGCAACAATGCGGGGCGTGGGGGGACGGATTGGAAGGAATTGGAAGGGGAAACAAAGGAGGAGGCAACAGTGCTTGATAAGAAATGTACTCATTACCTTGCCCGTGTAATTGTAACCCCCCTGTATGGTATTTTCACAAAAAAAGAAAAAAGAGTTGCACAGACTTTCCTGCCTAGGCTGGCTTTGAACCGTGATCCTCAGATCTCAGCCTCCTGAGTAGCTAGGATTACAGGTGTGAATACTCCGCCCTTCCCCCCTCCTGTGCCTGGCTGCCATGACACATTCTGAGA